CCACTGAGTAAATTTATTGGAATATTTAAGGTTCTAACCCCATTTATATTCATTTGGGCTATCGTTATTAAGTCACCTTCATTGATTGCTTTTAAATGATTATATGATTTTACTTAAATTTCACTCTGAGATCACTCATGTATTTCAAAGTTTTAATCAAGAAAAACATATCAATTGTTCACATTAGTAAAAATAATAGAGTTGATATTTGATGTAGTAGGGTCATGCAAGGATGATTAACTTAGGGAGTTGCACATTTAATTTTAGAATCCCAATAATCATGACTTTATATTGATTTTAAACGACAAAAGAAAACATAGAGAGCAGTAAGACAAGCTTAGGCTAAATCACATGAATAGTAGTTAAGATCGTAAAATAGGCAATTTTAATCAAACAAAGCACACATGAATGTTTTTAATAATAAATCTCAATGCTAACAATAAGATTAACCACTAGGAGAGTCCACTCACTCAACTCTTGATGCGGACATCAGCACGAAGATCTGGCGCATCTATCACAGGAGGCGTCGTAAATCGACGGCTCTAATTTAAATTGTTATTTAAAATTCATTTTATGAATTTTAGCTATTATTTTATGTTATTTCCTGTTTTACCCCTAGGTTAGTTTATTTGAGTGTTATGGCCCAAGGGACATTTTTGTAATTTTTTTATTTTCTCATGTTATGGCTTATATATAGGGCCTTAAGCTATTGTAATAGGAGGGTTAATTTGATATGAAAATTTTGTATTTTCCACACTTGTGTTCTTCTTGAGAGAGGACGAGAGTGAGATTTCTATGAGAGAAATCGAGAGTTTCACCAGCCGCAGGATGGGTCCGGGCTCGTGACGTGAAGTCCCTTGGAGAAGGGCAAACGAATCACCCGTCAGTCTTCGGAAGAGTCCAAGGCTCGCGGTTTATATTTTATCTTCTATCTTTTGCTCTTATCTTTTGGTTTGTGTACTCTTTGTTGATTTATCATTCATTTTTTTGGAAAGTTACTATATGAATTTTATTTGAATTTCAAATTCAAAGAGGGTTTAATTATTTCTTTCCTAAACTCCACACCCCAATTAAGTAATCACAATTAAAGCATTAACACTCCCTTTCCATCCTTGCATGGCCGGCCCCCTCCTCCTCTCTCCAATCCAATCAATCCATATTAATTCCCCAATTAAGCATTCATGGCCTCTTAATTTGAAATCAATTTTCAAATTAAGCCCACCAATCTCCTTGGCATTAATTCTTATTTCCTCCATCACTCTCCTAGCCGTAACTTTCAAGGCCCCACAAATCCCAGCAAATTTCTCTTGCCAGACGAAATTTTCAAATCCTAAAGCCATTAATTACTTTCCAAAATCTTCTTTGGCAAAGATTTCCCAAGCCCACCACTGCTAGCCGAATCCTCTCAAGGGAATTCAATTCCTTTCCTTACCAGTTCTACCCGCCCCCTCTCAATTTTGAAAACCAAAAATCTTTCCACCTTTAATTTTGAAAACCGAAAATTAATTCCCTCCTCCCGTGAAGCATTCCTTCTACTTGGAACATTTATTCCCCACCTAATTTCTAAAGCCGTTTCCTCATCTGTTTCCTCTACCTCCTCAGCAAAAATTTGAGAATTTTTTTTGGAAACCTGAGGTTGTTTTTCAACCCGTATTACTTGAATTTGAGATCTCCTTCTCAGGTTTTAGAAAGGAAACCTGAAGTAATTCTTAGAATACTCTCTCCTCTTCTTTACTCTAGAGAGCTCCCCCATCTTAACAGCCTTGAGTTGGAATTTATTTTGGGATTAAAAGTCCTGCTGCTGGCCGACTCTTCCAAGTCCATCACGTGGGAATTCCTCCACTAGAAGCTCTCCAAGTTCCTAAGCAAAGCCGGCGACCCCGTTCTACATCAACTCTTTAATTCACTAGGCTTTAGCGGAGAAAAGATTATTATGAGTCAAGTTACAACCACCTTCGAGAAATAAACTAGGAACATACAAGAGTTGGTGAGGAGTTCACCCATAGAAGAAGATGTGGAGTCCCGCTGGTGGTTGGGGTGTTGGGAAAGTAGTGGACAGCTATTTGATATTTCTGGCTATCTCAAACAGCCCTCGGGAGTCTCTCCAAATGGCGGGACAGCAAAGAACAAGTGTCAAATTTTCTGGACAGCAGCCTCGGTGGAGTGGACAGTAGTCTGGACTTGCGGGGAACTCTGGACATCAAGTTTCTTTCTTCTAGAATTCTGGACAGTAACTCAATAAGGGAAAATCTGAACTTTGTTGATCGGTTGGAAGGGGAAGAGGATGGTGTAAGGGCTTTAAAAGCTTCCCTAAAGATCTTCTCTTCCTGTGGAAATAATTGTGAAGGCTAGGGAAGAGAAAGGGGGTGGGTAAGGACAAAAGGGGAGGGGCTGTCCGGTGGCATTAGGAGGGAGAGAGAGAGAGAGGAAGAGGTGGTGGTTTAATTGCTTGCCTAGTCATTAATGTTCAATTAAGATGGATTGGAGGGAATTAGGCTCAATTTGAATTTGAATGGGGGCTTAATTTGGAGAGTTAATAAGGGAGTAATAATGGCTAGAATTAATGAGAGAGAGGGATGAGTGGGCCGGCCTATAGGGAGGTTGGGGGGTGGTGGGAACTGTGTCCACATTCAATGAGTGTGGACACGCAATGAATTGTAATTAATGACTAAATTTGAGAATTAATCTCAGATTTAGGGTGATGGAGGGATATTTCCTTCAAGGCTTAGGCATAAACAGAAAGCATTTGAAATTCAAATTATTTTGAATTTGAATTCAAATCCTTTCCTAAAATACAATGAGACAAATAAGGAAAGAAGTAATGGGGAGGTTAATGGGAAATTCAAGGGGAGGGAGATGGGGAGGCCAGCGGGTTGGGGTCTAGTGGAGGAGGGCTGGCGAGGAGAGGTGGTGGGGGTATGCCACGGGAGAGGGAGAGGTGGCCGGCGGCATGGGGGTGGAGATGGGGACGGGCCGTGGTGGAGATGGTGGCTTTGGGAGGGGCGGCCGGCGGCTGGTAGGCCAAGGCAGCCGACAGGTTGGGGGAAACAGGGACTTGAGGTGGTGGAATTTGGGAGAGAATTTGGGGGGAGGATGGCCCGTGGTGGAAGCTATGAAAGTAGACGGGTGGGGAGGGAATTCGATGCAAGAAGAAAAATAAAAGAAAAAAGGAAAGATAAGAGAATCGCGAACCTTGGAATCCACCAAGATTGACGGGTATTGCTTTTGCCCCACTTGGGCCTCTCATCTCACGAACTCACTAAGAGATCATCCCAAGAGAGAAAGCTTAGAACTCACAAAGAGATCCATAAGCACAAGTTGAAAATTTCATATTAATCATCATCCTTCAATACAAGAAAGCTGGCCTATGAATAGGTCTCATGAAAAGAAAAATAGCAAAGACTAAAATGTCCTTTGGGCTACAACACCACTTGATCACTCCTAAGGGTAAAATGAAAAAAAATATTAATAACTAGTACAGAAGATATCAAAAATAAAATAAACTCTAAATCGCAGCTGTTGATCTCCTGATGTCCTCATCAAGATTGCTTTATAATTAATGCAATCTTTTTTTCATATATGTTTTGCCAATGTATTACTCGTCAGATTTCCTACCCTTATACTTCGCAATGGAATTGTATTGCTGAATGCAAAAAAAATGTCACCTTCTTGATGTTGTCAGGATATTAACATTTTCCGTAGATACTCTTAATAATCTTTAAGAAATGTTCTCTTAACTGGATGTTATCTCATCAATTGAATCACTGACAACTCACCCATCTCCGCTCTTTATCTAGAAAATATTTTTTCCTTACACAAAAGGTCATTGGCTGTAAATCTTAGGTTCATTTGTTTCGATGGAAGACAAACTATCTCGGGTTATATCAACCTCAAGTACTATTGCCCTAGTTTCAAGCCTAAACTTCATATGAATTCTTTTGTCTATAGTCATCAATCAAGGTTGGATTATGCTATAAATGGATGTAAGTAATGTTTTCCTATATTGTGACCTACAAGAAGTCATCCATATGGAGCAACATCTCGGGTATGTTGCTCAAATGGAGAACGATAGTGTCTACTCATGGAGGCTATCCATAACCTTAAACAGAGTTAATGACCTTGGTTTGACAAACTTTACAAAGTCCTAGTAAAGTTGATTATCAAGACAGCACTACAAATCCTTTATCTTCATCCAATATACCCCTATAGGATCTTTCACACTATTTATTTTTGTTGAAAAAATCTTACTAACTAGAAATGACCATGACTACATTTTTGAGGTTAAACAATTTCAGATGGTCAAAGTGCTTTCTAAGAAGTAAGAAAAATGAGTCTCCTTGGAATATCTCTTTCCCTTTTAGGATATTTTGGTTTCCTTGTTACGGAGCTTATAACTCTATGGCATGACAATTGTACTAACATCATTGCCAACAATCTTAGTTTTCATGAGCAAAATAAACATCTCAAAGCGGATTGTTATTTTATATAGAATGTTGTGATTTCCAAGAAAACTCCCATCCAATTAATTTTCCCGGTATATATTATCAATGAAAAATATCAAAGAGCAATAACAAATTTAAAAATCTTTCAAGTGAAAGCAATTATTACTCTTTAACTCGTTATTGTTAGGATGGCTGCAATCTAAAAGAAATTAGTATTGGGAGATTAAAAAAACCAACAAAATTAAAATCAAATTAAAGAATGAAGCCAAAACCAAAAAAAAACATATCATTCAACAGAACTAAATATGTTTGGTCAGGAATAAAAATGAGAAAAAGCCAAATTTAGACTAATGGAGAAAATCTTATGCACTGCATTTGTAGGTTCAGAAGATTCAGAAATACTCAACCACTTTAGATTTCCGGTACCCTTGCAATTAGAGTGGACATAGGGTATTACATAAGAGATTTTCAACCTTGACATATTTATGCATTCAAACTTGTCAGGTTCCCATCCAATCTTTGAAGTGAACAACACATTATCTTTCATATAATATTTACCTGGAAAGTATGCAGGAGAGAGGAGAAATGTCGTTGCTCTGCTACTGCACTAGTATGTTTCTCCTTAAGAGATTCGCACGCTTTCTGCTCAGCAAGGAGACCCCGCTCTGCTTTCTCTAACTTCTGCCATACCGATTAAAAGAAGAGCATAACTAAGGAAGATTATGAAAATGGAACAAAAATAACTCCTGAATTCATGTGGCAGCATTAGAAGAAAATAAAGAAAAATCATGTTTAAAAAAAAACTAAAATAGTGAGAAAGAAAAGCATGATGGCTGATTTGGTTAGAGAAATTCATGGCATAATCGGAAATATAAACTTTTCGAAGAAATCATAATGCTAAAAGTACACTAAAAAAACACAACCTAACCATATCTGATGAGTTTGCAACAATGCAAACACAAGATTAACGCAAACCACAGGAAAAAAAAAAACAAAGACATAAAAATTCAAATCATTTCAAAATCATGTCTAATTCATGTTTAAAGTTAATACCTGTCAGTAGACTCTCATGGCCTCACAGTATACCCCAAAGGAACACACTAACATTACAACAACAACATCAAGCCTTTATCCCACTATGTGGGGTCGGCTACAAGAATCCTTTTTCTCCATTGTGTCCTATTAAAAGTCAAATTCTCGTCTAAATCTAATAAAGAAAGGTCATTCCTAATATTTTCTAACCAAGTCTTTTTAGGTCTACCCCTACCTTTCTTAACATAAGTCAAATCTAATACCTCTACTCTCCTAACCGGGTCATCGCAAGACCGCCGTTTTATGTGACCAAATCATCTAAGGCGACTCTCTCTAATCTTATCTTCTACTGAACACACTAACATTAAGAAAAATAAATGTGTTGATCTCAACGAATGCACCACAAGTTTAAAGCAGGATAAGCCCAAGGGTCGATCAGATTAAATTAGTCCTCAATCTTAAAAAGGTCTTTATATATCAACATGTTGCGACCCACTCAGGCCATTCACTTTGATCGAAACCAAAAAATATAGAAGGTAAGAAGTTGAGTAGCAAAAGACATTTTCCCTGTGAGAGAGCATGAGAAGAGGATAGGGGAGTCTTTGTGCTCGAGTGAGAGTCCAAACCACTTGGGCCTTGGGGGGGGGAGAGAATGTGAAGTTGAGTGAGATTTTCTTTAAGGGTGTCAATGGGTGTGAGGGGTTTCACATGGTTGTTTTCAAACAGTCTGCACAATGTGGTCCTCTGTATTGTGGTGTTGGAGCTCTTGGACAAGAGATCTGGGAAGTCTTTGAGCGAAAGACTTACTAGTCGAGTAGACTAGAGGACGGCATCTCCGACAGGCCAGGAGGTGGAAGGAGGTATGGCATCTCCGCCGTAGCATGGAGACGAAGGAGGTAGCGGCATCTCCACCAAGCCATGAGACAAAATGAGGGAGCCGCATCTCCGCCGTAGCGAGGAGCTGAAGGAGGGACAACATATCCTCCGGGCCGGGAGGAGAAGGGAGAGTCTTCGGGGTGTGAAGAGTCTGTAAATGTTACTCTCCACCTGGTAAGAGAGAAGGGTTTCTCCACCTGGCTGAATGTCAAAGGTCGATTCGACCAAACTACTATAAATCTGATATGCATATTCTTACTTTCCTACACCTACTGATGCGGACATCGGTACGAAGACTTGGCGCATCTATCACAGGCGGCGGCGTAAATCGACGGCCATTATTTAAACCTTCAATTATGATTTATTTTTCTGAATTTTAGTTCTTAATTAATGTATTTCTTGCTTTACCCCTAGGATAGTTTATGTGAGTGTTATGGCCCAAGGGGCAATTTTGTAATTTTTGATTTTTCTCATGTTGTGGCCTATATATAGAGTCTTAAGCTATTGTAAAAGGGATGAAGAATTGATGTTAAAAATTTGTGTCCACACTTGTGTTCTTGTGAGAGAGCGTTAGTGAGATTTCTCGCAGGTTTTAATTGTTTTTTCCATCGTCTTCCTCCTCCCCATCTCCGTTTTGGCCGCCGGATATTCACCTCCACCCGAGACCCTCATCCCCTCTCCACCTCACGACTAATCCCCCATACCCGAACCCATGCCGCCGGCTCCACCCCATTAGCCGCTGGCCGAACCTTCCTCTCCACCCCCTTTTGGATTTCCTAATTTGGTTGGGTTAATTTAGGGAATGATTTGAATTTGAAATTATTAAAATTCGAATTTCAAATTCTTTCCTAATTTAGTTCATTTATTTTTGGAAATTGCTTTATTGAAATCAATTTGAAATTAAATTCAAAATCTGATTTATTGCCTCACTTTCATAACTCTTAATTTAAATTCATTTGAATTCTAAATTCAATTAAATTTTAAATTCAAATCTAAGAGCATTAAAACACCGCATTCAATGCCCCTCACAGCCTTATTACTGCTGCCGTCCATCACTCTTGGGCTTGGATTAGGAAACTCTTCCTAATTCCTAATGTCTCTATTTAGAAATAACTCCACCTCTTGTTAGCTGAAACGTTTAAAGCCAACCCCTTTAATTGGTTTCCAAAATCTGAGAATAAACATTAGGAAATATTTCCCTATTTCCCTCCCAGTTTACCGCCTCCCTTTACTTAAAATTCCCAAAATCTGTCCGCGGGACAGTGCTCATTTTTTGGGAAGATTTGAAGAGCAAATCTGCTGCTGCTGGCCGAATTTTGCCAAGCCTCTCAAATTAATTCTCTTCCATTAAATCCTCTCCAAACTCCACCCACACAGCAGGCCGAATTTTCCCAAGGCTTCACCATGGGTTGCCGTTCTTCCCAATCAGCCTTAAATCCTCCCTTAAGTTTTCAACCCAACTCTTCCTTCCCAATCAGCCTTAAATCCTCTCAGGTTTTTTTTAATTTTTGGTGGAAATCTGAGGCTGTTTTCAGAATTTAAGAGAAGAGGTGTGGAGCTTGAAACCTCTCTCCTCCCAAGAGAAAATCTGAGATTCTTTTCAGGTTTTGGGCAAAGAAGTCCGAATTTCCTTCAGATTTTGGAGAGGTGGTCCTCTCTCTAGCAAAGCCATTTTCCGTTCTACATCACCTACTTTCTAACCTTTACTTTAAGCACTTTAGTTTATTTGATTGATCTTTGGAAAGTTATGATTTAATTTTTTTCTCATTGAAATCTTGGTTGAAAGATAAAAACAAAAACAAAATGAATATTTGAAAAACAAAATATTTATTTCTTATTTTTTGTTTGAAATTTTTTCTAAAAGCTATTGCATGTTTCTCTAATTTGTTTTTAAGATAAGAAAAGTTTTTTAAAATACTAATTCACCCCCTCTTGATGCATCATAGCACTTTTAAAAACTCTCCCAAATACGGAGAGGTTGGGGCGCAATTTTATAAAGCGCATATTATTAGTTGAACAAAGTTTCGCCAAAACCATCTAAAAGATGCAAAATCTTCTGAAAATACAGATTGTTTTGCAACAAAATATTTTAATGGAGAAACATCATTAGCAACATCACTAGTAAAAGAAGCATAGGTGATGAGGACATCGATCAGAGGTTCAAATATGTGTATCGCCGGAAGCATCGCAGATCGACGACCACGATTCAGGGTTTATATTTTTAAATATTTATGCATTTTATTTTCTTTGAGTCTTCGTATTGTACCCCTATTATGAGTTGAGTCATGTTGTAGCCCTGAGGGCAATTTAGTCTTTGTTTCTTCTTTTATGTTGAGACCTATATATAGGTCATTTCTATTGTAATGAGGATGATGAATTTTGAGTAAAATTTTGTTATTGTCTTCTTCTTCATCTTGTGTGTGCACTAGAGAGGAGAGAGAGAGAGAGAGAGAGAGCCCGAGGTAAGGGCAAGCGCAATACCCATCAGTCATCGGAAGAGTCCGTGACTCGTGGCCTTCCCCCGTCATCTCCGTTCTTCCTTGTTTCCCCCAACCGCCGGCTCTATCTCTCCCCTGAGCCGCAGGCCACACTTCACTCCTTTCATCCCTTACAATATTCCACCTCCTAGCTTCCCAATTCAAATCCTACCATCATCAAGATCCACCTCAACCCGACAGCAAAGTCTTTCCCCTTCTTTGGCCGCCGACCACCTTCATGATCCAAGTCATTATGATGAATCCAATCCTCATAATGGCTCCATAATTTGGGTTCTTGCAATAAAGGGAGAATTTAGTTATTTGGAATTTGAAATTCAAAATTTGACATTCAAAACTTTCCATATTCGCAAAAGTCCAAATAAGGAAAGTTTTGAAATTGAATCTTATTCAAATTTCATGAAAAGTGGATTTATTAATTTTCCCTCCTACTTGGCCTCAACTCATTTGGAAAGAAATTAACCACTCCCTAATCCCCTCCCTATCCATTGATGCTGCCGGCCATACAAAGGGGAAACTCCCACTTGGCTTCCAAATGAAACTCCTCCTCTCATTAATGGGATTTTCAAATTTCAATTTGATTCCCTCCAAAGTGTTCAAAATCTGAAATTAATTTCAGATTTGGAGCAAGCCTCTTTCTCCCCCATCTAACCTAATTCCCTCACCCCAAGCCACCCGTCCCCCCCCCTCTCTCTACCCCCCCCCCCCCCTCTCTCTACCTTGGCCGATCTCCTTGCTCCTTCCCTTGGAAGTTTTGAAGCCAAAATAAGAAGACGACGTCCTCTCATCTCCACTTCAATGACGTATGGCCGATCCCGAAGTTGATAGCGGATTCGTACTCGATGCCTACGGAGACATCTACATCGTTCGCTCACCATTCTTCGACGTCGGGTTTGGTTTTGACAACACCGTTGAAGATTACTTGAACCGAATCCTCCCCACCCTCTTGGACATCATCGACGATCAATTCTCGGACTACGAGTGGACCATCAACGGCCATCCACCCGTGCCACCTCCACCACCGTCGACCTTTCCGTGGATTAAGAGCATTGGCGTTGCGACCGTCCTCGTGGCTTCGTTGGGTGTGCTGAAGACCTTTCTCCGCTAAGCCGTATCTTGAGCACGAGTGAGCATGGTAACTCGTTGTGAACTTTCTAAATGTTAAACTAAAGAAACATAAAATCGTATTAAATAAAACTAGATCATAAATAATATTAATTAATTTAAGTTAATATTTTAACTAATTAATATAATAACTTGTATGTGGTCATGAAATCATACTTATTTTTATTTTAATTAATATTTTTATTAATAAATAAAAGTTAGTCGGACCAATAAAATAGTGCTACCAACATAAATTTTTTGAAATAATGACTTCTGTAAAATATTTGAGAATCTCTAACATAACAGTTTGGAGCTAACGTGGAAAATGGATTCTGTAAACTAATGGAGAATTTAAAACCCTAAACAAAAAGAATATCTTTAAAATAAAGCTATTAACCGTGGGATTCTTAGTACAACATATTTGTTTTCACTGTGATAATTTCTGATCTATCTTAAATTGTCCTAACTTCTAGCTTTGTAATTGCTTATCATAACAAAATTGACGATTGAGAGTCCTTTAATCTTGCTTAACGAAACATCAATCTTGAAAGTAGCAAGCTCCGTATTTCTTTAAATATTTCTTGTGCAATTCTTGTATGTTTCACATCAATAGGTTTATTTAAATATATATATAGAAAGATATATAAACCAAATCCAGGCAAAAAATGTTTAGGGATGCCACATTTTAAGCACAACACAAGACTAGTCTGCCTAGAAATACCAATTTTTAAAATAGAACCAAGACACTTACATGTTTGGCTCCCTTCACAATCACCTCCATCGAGTCCAGAAATTTATATCGACCGCTGGGAGTAGTCATGGCATCTTTAAACTAGCAACAAAGCGAATGAACAAAAATGTGGTAAGTCATATACGTCATGAGGACAGCACCTTATATAGGGAGCACAAAATCGGCAAGATAAGTAAAACTATTGATAGTGGTAAGATTCAATGCTTAGAAACTCAGACCCCATACAATCCAATTTCTTTTTCTCCATAAAATATTCCCTACAATATTGCACTGCATAGGTCCAATAAGCTAATAATTAAAAAAGACAAAAGGTGGAGACCTTCATGAGCAAAACTGATAAAATCCTGGGAGAGGGAGAATAAATTATACCAATCCGTTGGACATAATAAACAGTGAAGATAAATGATAAGACACCACCCGAATGCCCAAAAATGTAAAGTTTTGAGCAAGATCAAAAACAGGCGCTCCACTTCAAGGAGATTCCAGCACTATGTCAAGTTTGGCCAAGTAGGAAAACAAAAAAATCAAGTTATTACTCATGTTAATTGCAAATGTTATGCAGTAAATTACACCCGGTCCCTGAGGTTAAGGGGTAATTTCAAATTTGTTAACATTTTGAAAACCATATAATTGGGTTCCAGAATTTCATTATGAGCTTCAATGAGGTCGCTCTGTGGCAGTTACAATAAAAACTAAACTATATGTACTACTCTGAAGATCCACAATTAAATTGAAGCACATAAGTGAGAGTTAAAAGAACTAGGGACCTAATTATAGGGTTTTAAAGGTCTAGACTAGACCGCCTTGAAACAACCCTTTAACCTCAGGGACCCAAACTTAATCTACCTGAGATTATAATAAAATTATATGAGGGATACATGAATGAATGGTGTACTAAAGTCCTAGCTAAACCTAATTATATTTTGAATTCATCTGTTTGATTGACAAGTAGAAGTATACAGCTAAAAATTGATGGATGGCCTTCTGAGAAGCTGTGAAGTAGACGCAATCAGATTAGAGGCCGCCATGGAAGCCAAATCCCAATTATTAGGGAAGGGAACATTAATCAAAATTCATACTTCTAAAGCCACAAAGTTCATTAACAATTAAAATAATAAAATAGTAGGAGCTACAAACAAACACAGATGAGAGTGTTTATTAAAGATCTGTTTGGACAAACTTTTTAAAAGCTTTGTGATGGAATACCAACATAGACCAAGGACAAGACCACAAACTAGGGTATTGCATAAAAATTTGCATTCTTCATTATGCACAACTCACCAAACAAGAGCATGATTGTACCCTCATTCCACCAAAATCAATTCAAAATAAATGGAAATTTCAAATTGAATCCCTTGATGTGAGTATTAATGTCACCATAGAATAAAGGAGGGCCGATCTCACCATCTTCCTATTTTGGCTTAGTCGAATTCCCCTCTTTATGAAAGAATCTTTTTGTAAATTTTTTTGCTATTTTCGCTTCCTTTGCAGTATGGTGTGTCATCAATCCATGCATTAGTATTTTCTTGGCTCCAAGGGCTTTCTGAATGAGCCTTATGCTATTATAGGCTTGAAAAAGACCATAAATATCATTTGCTTTCTACTCTTCAGAATTATTAAAAAAATTTATATTTTGTTCAAGTAAATATGTGTGGAAAGGCTTAATGACTGTTCTACTTCTCAGTGAAGCTTGATGGATGATCCCTTGGGGCTTTCGTTATTCCTTAGTTGTTCCCTCCATCTCCTCCTCATCTTCCCAAAGAAACTCTCCCTCCCACAAGCTAGTCTTGGCTAACCCCTAAACCCTGCCTCCCTCAACGCCAAGAGCCCTACAACACCTCAAGACATCTCCTCTACATTCCCACACAACCCCCACAACTCCTCAAGGTCTTATATCTCCCCATTAACTGCTAAGATATCTAAGTCAAAAACCTAATAAGAAGACAAATTCCTAGTATAAGCATAACAACAACAACAACAACAATATCAAGCATTTATCCCTCTATGTGGGGTAAGCTACATGAATCGTGTTTCTCTACTATGTTGTGCCCTGTTAAGAGTTAAATTCTCATTTAAATCTAATAAAAAAAAGTCATTTTTAATCTTTTCTAACCAAGTCTTTTTAGGTCAACCTCTACCTTTCTTAACATAGGTCAAATCTAATATGTTTACTCTCCTAATGGGGTCATCGGAAGGCCGATGTTTTATGTATCCAAACCATCTAAGACGACTCCCTCTAATCTTATTTGTCACTGGAGCTACTCCAACCTTTTCAAGTATATACTTGTTTTGCATTCTATCTCTAAGAGTGAACCGACTCATCCACCTAAGCATCCTCATTTCTGCAACGCATAACTTAATTTTATGCTTGTCTATTAATGGCCAACATTCTACATCATAAATCATTGCAAGTTTCACCAACATCTTATAGAATTTTCCCTTAAGTTTGAGAGATATTTCTCTAGCACACAACAAGCCTGGTGCATTCCTCCACTTCAACCATCCAACTTAAATTCTATAATAATATCCACATTTATTTCACCATCACTTTGAATAACATACTCAAGATATCTAAACCGTGTACTCTTATTAATGACTTGATCGCCCAAAATCACAATCTCCCCTTTAGATCTAATACTACTAAAATTACACTCCTTGTATTTGGTTGTAGATCTACTCATACGAAAACCTTTAGACTCTCTCTAGTCTTATCAACAAGAAGGATATCATCAACAAAAAGCATAAACCAAGATACATCCTCTTGCAAATGTTTAGTAAGAACATCCATAACTAAAGCAAAAAAGATATGGGCTTAAAGCTGATCTTTGATATAATCCAACTGAAATAGGAAAGTACTTGGCCAAACCATCTTATATTTGAACACAGGTAACAACTCCTACATATATATCCTTAATGATTTGAATATAAGCATTATTAACTCTTTCTTTTTTTAGAACTCTCCAAAGCTCTTCTATTGGAACTTCACCATATTCGTTGTCTAAATCAATAAATATCAAATGTAAATCCTCCTTGCTTTCTCTATACTTCTCCACCTTACCTCTCAATAAATGAAGCTTCCATAGTAGACCAACCCGGTATGAATCCAAATTGATTTTGAGAAACATTAGTATCACATCATAACCTATGCTCAATAACTCTCTCCCATAATTTTAATGTATGACAAATTAACTTAATTCCTCTATAATTCACACATTCTTGTGCTTGACCTTTATTCTTAAAAATATGAATCAACACACTTTCTCCACTCATTTGCCATATTTTTAGTCTTTAAAATAATATTGAAATTTTTCGTAAGCCAATAAACTCCTTCATTTCCTAAGCATCTCCACACCTCTACAGGAATATTATCATGTCCAACACTTTTTTCATACTTCATTTTTTTTAAAGTCTCTCTAACTTCAGTTTTATTAATATGACAATAAAATTAAAAATCACTATTTTCATTGAGGGTGTTAAGGTCATTAAATTCAATTGTATTCTCATAATTTTCATTGAAAATTTTATAAAAATATCCCATCCACCTTTGTTGAATATTCTCTTCTAATAAAAGTATTTTTTATCCTCATATTTAATGCACTTAACTTGAACTAGATTCTTACTTCTATCTCTTTGCTTTGCTAATTTATGCATACATCATTTGTCCAACTTAGTATATAATCTATTATATAAATCATTAAAAGCTATATTTTTTACAACGCATATTGCTTTCTTAAACTCCTTACATGACCCCTTATAACTTCTCAATTTTTCAAGATTTTAGATCTAAAATAATTTCTATAACAAAGCTTCTTATTTTTTATTTTTTTCTTAACATTTTGATTTCACCCTTAACTATTTTTACTATTATGAGTTTTTCCTTTTACTCCAACCACATCATTTACAACATGCTAAATATCACTAACTATTTTTTTCACATAATATTAGCTTTCTTATGCACAGTCAAAATCTTAATATCTTGAATCTTACTTAGATAATATTTTATATTATTCTTCATATTACGCCCCTTCATCTTAAAATTCAAAATTAATAAGCGGTGCCAGGTACATAAACATTCACTAGAAAATAACTTTACAATTTTTGCAATCTAAATGATCTATTTTTCTTGTAAAATAATAATCAATCTGAGTTTTATTATATCCATTCTTATAAATGATGATATGCTCATCTCTTTTCTTAAATAAGATATTAATAATTACAAAATCATAAGCTAGAACAAAATCTAATATGTTTCTACCACCTTCATTAATCCCCACAAACTCATAGCCACCATGAATATTTTTAAAATCTTCTATTACTCCAATATATCAATTTAAATCTTCTCCAATAAAAACTTTTTCTTCAAGACATCATTTGCATTAATTATAAGTCATCCCAAAATTTTAATTTTGAACACATATACAAACCTACTTAAGGAGCATAAGCACTTATAATATTAATAATTTTAGCATCAACAATAATTTTTAAAGCTATAATTCTATCTTCAATTATGTTAATTTCTAAAACATTACACTTCAAACTCTTATTTATAATCGCACCTATATCATTTCTAATATGACTCCTACTTGAATATTATAGTTTAAATCCTAAACTATCAATCTCTTTAGCCTTCTCTCCAACTCACTTAGTTTCCTAAATACCTAAAATATTTATCTTGATGTAGAACGGGACTAGGAGAATTCAATCTTAGGAGAAATTCAGCCAGCAGTATGTTCAAATCCCAATTCTCCCCAAAGTGAATCAACGAAATCTGGAATTCACTTGATGATGCTTTCAAAAATTCTGAGAATAACTCTCAGGAAATCTGAAACATTTCAGATTTTTCTCAATAAATCTGAGAAGAATTTCAACAATCAATAAGCATAGGAAGGCACTATGAGGAGTAAGCGGTGTGGGCTGTGGGAGAGAGTGGGCTGGCGGGAATGGGAAGGAGGTGGGGAATTTTATTTCCGAATTCCACTGTCTGGATTTAGGAAATAAATTAGAATTAAAATAAGAATGAAAATTTTGGCCAAAACTCCAATTAAGAAACCTGTAAAGAGCTTGGCGGGATTATGGGGGAGAAATTAGGGAATTAATTCCTAATTTCTCTCAACAGATTTTGGAATTATTTCCAAAAAACTTTGAGTTAATGAAGGAGTTAATTAGGAGCATTAATTGGCTCTTAATTAAGCAAAGGAAGGGCCGGCCTAGGAGAGAGGAAGGAAGAGGGGTTTGATTTCAAATAAGTGGGCCCCAATTACTTAAGTGAATTAATCCTTAAATCTGAAATTAAATTTCAGATTTAAAGCTACGATTAATTCCTTAATTAAAGGAGGAAATTGAGGGGGCATTTAACTCCTAATTCAAATTTGAATTTGAATTGGAGAGTTAAAACCTTCCAAATGTGGATCAAACCCAATTATGAAAAATTTCAAATTTGAAATCCAAAATTTGTCATGGGTTTATGATTTCAATTGAGTCCTTTCCAAAAATAGGTGAGCTAAATTAGGAAAGAAATTTGAATTTCAAATTTTGAACAATTTGAATTTCAAATTAATTCCTAATATCATGCACTCCTAATTAGGAAATCCAAGGAGAGAGGGGAAAGGATGAGGCCGGCGGCTAGGGAGCCATGGCCGGCGGTTTGTGGTGGATCTTCGGGTGAGGTGGCCGGCGGCTTTTGGTGGAAATGGGGACAACGATGGTGGACGGAGGTAGAGGATGACGCAACAAGAAGGAACCAAAGAAAAACAAAGATAGAAACGAAAGATAGGAAAAAAAAACTGCGAGCCTCAGACTCTTCCGAAGACTGACGGGTGATGCTGCCCTTCTCCAAGGGACTTCAAATCACGAGCCCAGACCCATCCTGCGGCTGGTGAAACTCCGATTCCTTCCCATAGGAATCTCACTCTCGTCCTCTCTCAAAAAGAACAAAAGTGTGGAACACCAATTTTTAATATCAAATCTCCCTCTTACAATAGCTTAAGGCCCTATATATAGGCCATAACATGAGAAAATAAAAAAAAAATTACAAAAATTCCCCTTGGGTCATAACACTCAAATATACTAACCTAGTGGTAAAACAGGAAATAACATAAAAATAATAGCTAAAATTCATAAAATAAATTTTAAATAACAATTTAAATTAGAGACGTCGATTTACGACGCCTCCTGTGATAGATGTGTCAGATCTTCGTGCCGATGTCCGCATCATATCTTCTTATAAATCATAATATCTATTAATTCAATTAAATTACCTGTAAGAGAATTTATATTCTAAATTTCTATCCTAATTTTAATTTAATAGACTAGCTTCTTTGTCACATTTGTCCATGATGTTGAAACCCTTACTAATTTAACAATGCACCTGGGTATCGGAGCAGCAGCCCTTGCGCACTTTTCACTATATTTAGGCCATATGATGCTTCGCTTCCAAGGAACATATATGCATTAAAACAATGCAATAAAGGGCTCATGTCATGATTATTTGGCAAGTTTTATGCTGGTTATCAACTATCTAATGCAACCCTCCATTTTCCTCATCCAAAGCTTAGGACCTGACAATGACAGTGCTCTTGTTATAAACATAAGTTAAGAAAAAAATACAACTCTCCAAACAAAAATCCAGAACCCATAAAAACAACTACATCTCTTAACATCTTAAACATTTAATTTGGAGTTCCTTAACCTTTTCCTCATATGAAAATTTACTCTTTCAAAACAATAAGCTTTAACTCAAAATCTATCCAAAATCCAAATACCCCTTGTTCCATTTCCTACATAATTCCTCCACCATCAACCCAATGATCATCAATCAAGTTACTGCATCCACCGTAATATTCCTGTACACCTTACATCACTTTGCTTTCCAACACCCACCATAATTATGTTTGGCTATATCTTTCTTACTATTTTTCAAAAATTGCAGGAGGTAGCATTTTACAATTATATTTACTAAAGAGTGGTAGTTAAGAGGAAAAAACTGATAATACACACAATCGCTTCTAAAAAATCCACAACTATTCTACAACTACTTCCACAAACAGCAACACTGCCCCAAACAAACCAAGTGTACATTGAAATTTAAATTTACAGCAATTCAGTTTAAAGTGAATTAATGATATTGGAGTATTCTCTTCATGACCAGTTCCAAAAATTAAGATTAAATCAATATTGCATAAACACTTCATAGATTGTGTCTAACCAAAACTACATTTTTTTTATAAGAGGAATAGTGTTCAGATTTCAAAATATTGCAAACATTCAAAGAGTTAACCAAGGGAAAAATCAAAGAAATTTTTCATAATAAAGGAAGGTCTGGCACTCAATTTCTTAAAAGAATCAAAACATAGTGGAGCTCTAACCTTGTTTTTCAAGATGATCTCCTTCAAGTCCTCTTTCTTAAGCTTAAATTATTTTTCCAAATTAACTGGAAATATCTTTTATGACACTTGGCTTGTTATTTTTTGGGTGTAGTTGTCAGCATATTCTTTGCTTCCTGCCTTGTTTTCTCCTGATAGGCTGATATATGATACTAATTCACAATCAGCTTGTTTTCTATATTATTTAAGATAAACATTTAACATGTGTTACCTGCCATGGTTAGCAAACCGCACAGATGAATAATAGGACCAAATTTTGGAATTTGGGCAACCACTAATTTTAAGGGTTTCTAGGAAGTTATCAAAAACGGATATTTTCTAATTTACCACTAATTTAAGAATGTTTTGGGCTTATGAAAAGTGGCATAATCTTAGAAGAACTAAAGAAATTCACTCAAAATACAAGCCCGGTAAATCTCCTAAAGATAAATTTTCTTGTAAAATCCATTTCCTTCAAAAATGTCCAAAGATCAAATTTCTTGCAAAATCCATTTACTTCAAAACTGAAAAGATGATTTTCACTTCAAAGTTTTAGGCTTGTTCATAATTTACAAGCTTTCATTGGGTGTTCTAACAATCAAAAGTTTTTATGATCACAATTTAGTTTTTTATTCTATTGTTGTTAGAATTCTTATATGTTTTATTTCAAAATCTTTGTATTAGTTCTTTGTTAAGTTTATAAAGACTTGGTGAGATTTTACATTATAAACAATGTATTAAGTAGCACTCTTCCGTAAAATGAGTATTAGAGTTTCTCCACCGGCTCGAATGAAGGAGTTTGGTTTGCAATAGCAAATAGGTAGAGGAATCCCAACCCAGGTGGAGATTAGGCATAGATCTAGGCTGGTTGGGATCAAACCATATAAATTGCTTTGGGTGTTATTTCTATTATTTTTACTTGATTTTACTCACGATTGCAATATTAATTTCTGCACCAAGATTTCATTGGTTTAAAAATAAAAAATAAAAAGCAGCTACCCCCCACACACACACCTTTTCAAAGTGTGTAAAAACTATCCTTAAAAAATAAAGTGAACAATTTCCATTTTAGAAAAAATACAAAAGCAGCATGCATCTTGCTTATTATTAAGACTGGTTGTTTGGTTTAACGAATACCTGTAAATTAATTGAGTTCAGCAGGGACGCTTCTTTTAGCATTAGTTCTTTTATTTCCAGTAGGGCATTGTAGGTGGCATAGTGTCTACGAGTAAGATGATGCTTTTCCTACAAGTGAATAAGGATTATTAAATTATGTCGAGATTCAGTTTCAGTGAATCTTCAGCTAATAAAATCTCAAAAGATCAATACCTGAATTTGGGCATAAAGTTCTGAAAATCTTCTTTCATACCTAAATGGAAACAAAGAAAAAGTTAAATATTAAGGAATAAAATTGGAAGCAGTTTCAAGAGAACATGACATCAGCCTTTGAGTGGCAGCTGTGATGCCCTAGAAAAGTCATATCCATGAAAGATTTTTAATGCAACAAAGAGACTGATTGCTTGAGCTATCTCCCCCAGTACTATGGTTTAGCATTACTCTCCACAATCTTTTAGATAAAACCAGTTCCATTAATTTCTACGTTTATTTGAAACTTTTATGATAAAAGGTAAAAGGCTGCCTAGTTAGGTTTCCCTCCGATGCACAGCAGAGAGTTGGTGTACACCACCTTATTTTTCGAATTGCAAAGATATTATTTATGTGACTTAAGCACATGACCTCACCTCACTATTAAAATAAAAGTAACCCAACCATCACTCCTGGCCCTCCATCGAAAAATTGGATGTGGATATGCATGCAAAAGTTAATATGAACCATAGGCAAAGAAAAAGTGAAGTAAAAAAGGGAAAGAACATACTGGATCAATTCGGTCTGAACAGGTGCATCATCAAGTTGCCATCTAACTGACAAATTTTCCTTCATTTTAGTGGCAAGTTCCTAAAGGGGCAAGTACTCAAAAATATTAGCCTGCTTTTGAGAACTTCATTAAAAATCGTCATGATATGCATTCTAGCAAAACAGCAAGCAATATTGTAGACCATCAAATTCTATGATTGAAACGAGGTTTCGCTATTGAGGAAAGCAAAAAAGAAAATTGGTAAATTTCTATTGGCTATTTATTTATTTGTATTATTTATTTATGCATTTCTCCCTTTTTACCCTCACTTGAGGGAGTAGTCCTATGTAAGCCCTAGGGGCATGTTTGTCTTTTGAGTTTCTTTTGGTTTTTAGGCCTATATATAGAGGCCCATGCTATTGTATTATGATGATGGATGAATATTAAGAACAAATTTTTTACGCTTTGTTCTTGAGAGTTATGGAGTTATGGGAGTTCTTAGGAGAGTGGAAGTCCCTATGTGAGGGCAATGAAATACTCACCAGCCACAAGAAGCGTTCGGGTTTGTGGTTTTATCTCTTCCAAACTCTCTTTCCCAATTCCTCCTCCAAGCCGCCGGCCAACAACCTTTCTTCCTCCCAACTGTTGGCCTCCTCCCCATCTACACCCTAAACCACCGGCTTAATCCCTCCTCCCCCATTACACCACCGACCTCCTTCCATACCGCCGACCACAATTCCCCAAACCCCTAGCCGCCGGCCTAACCTATCCCCAACCCCCATCCCCATTCAATTAACCCATTAATGCTTTCATAATTTAGATTTTTCTAATTTGGAAGATCCTTCAATTCAAATTCAAACGAATTTGAATTTCAAAAACTTTCCAAAATTAAAACAACCCTATTTTAGGAACTCACCCAATCACAATCCCCTTGCCTCCAAAATTCAAACCTCCCATTATTACTTTCCTTTCTCTACACAACCTCTTTTGGAAAGCTTTAATTTCCATTATTCAATCAATTTTGAATTTTGAAATACTTCCTAAAATAGACAACCCATTTTAGGAAAGTCCTTAAATAAAGTCCAAATCAATTTCAATTTGGATTTTATTTAAATCCTTTTCCTCAATTAAAGGTCCTTGATTAGGCAAGCTTTTAACTCACCCCCCCCCCTCCAAAAAACCCTATGCCACCTCACCAAGCCGTCGGGCCCCTCCTTTTATCTCTCTCTCTCTCCCCACATTAACTCCCCTTCTAAATGCCTCAATCAAATCTTTCAATTAGGAATAATTTTTCTTTCCCTCCCTGATAATTTTCCTTTCCGAACCCGAACCCGACCCGCTTTGGGTCCGGGTCAACCCAAACCTGACCCGCTTTGGGTATGTTTTACTAAAAAAAATTTATTTAATTCAATTTATTTAAATCTAAATCAAATGAATGTAAGATTTGCTTCAATCAATTTAAAATAAATCAAACTTAATTTAATTTGGGCAACAATATTTATAATTTTTTAAAATATCATTTACTTATTTCATAACAATCTTTTAAAACCCTCCTAAATTAATTAAAAACGGATCAAACCGGATTGATTTCGGGTTACCAAGTCAACCCGAACCCGACCCGATTTTACAAATGGGTTGAAATCCCTAACCCGAACCCGACCCAGTTCGGGTTGACCCGAACCCGAAATTTTTGGGTCGGGTTTGGGTCTGGTTTTCGAGTCGGTTCAAATATTGGCACCCCTAGCCCAAACCCTAAAACCCTTCCCCTCCTCCAAGCCACCGGCCACAATAACCCCTCTTTTGCCTCTAAATTTCAAATCCTTAAATTGATGCTTTCCATTAACAACGCAGTTTAAATTAAGAATAATTTTACTCAGATTCCAATCTATTGGAATTTAAATTTTCTTTCCTAAAATAGGATGAGTTATATTAAGAAAGTCACTCCAATCTAGGCCTTTTAAATTTGAATTTAAATTGGAGAGATAATTTGTATTAAATTCTCTTTCCTAAGTTAAATTGACTTAAATTGGAAACTCAATAAAATCCCTTTATCTCCTCCAATCTTCTTTAATGCATGTGGGCCCCTCCCCTTCCCCTCTTAGCCACCTCTCTCCTCTAATTAGGAGGCCCATTAAAGCCCCCTAATTAAGCCATCAATTCCCTAATTACCACCGCCCTTTTGACTGAAATTAATTTCATAAATTTTGAATTTGTTTCCCTCCCAATTCAAAATCAAAGTTTATAAAATCATATTTTAAGTTCTTTAAAATCTGAAATTATTTTTCTAAAATAGATGGGTTAAGTTAGGAAAGGCCCCCACCTTTCAAATTAATTTAAATTTTAAAAAGGAGATACTCTAAATCTCCTTTCCTAATTTAAATTTCCAAACTTAGCAACCCCTCTTAATCACTCAATTAAATCCTCATCAAGGGGTCGGCCCACCCTTCCTCTCTCCTTTAATTGGAGAAGATTCAAATTTAAACTTTTCTCTCCTCTCCAAACATTAAAATCTGAAATTAAATTTTAAATTTTAGATTTTGAATTGCCCAATCATGGCTAGCTTGGTTCTACATCAAAAAGCAGGTAAATTTTAGATGAAAAAAATATCAACAAGAGATATAAATTCAAGAAAGTACATTCAAATAATATCTTCTCTTGTATTTTAGAAAAAAGTGAACTTAAAAAGAACGTACCGTCTTTAATGAATTTAACTTATTTGTAGAGTTTTTAATATGGCTATCCAAGTCAATAGGTTCACATTGTCTTCGGTTAAGATTTGAGATTTCGTCATCATTGATCAGCTTCTTGGACTCCAACCCAGATCCTTGCCTTTCTAGATCCTAAAACAACTTCCAAGTAAAGTATGTCATCGATAGAACCAATATGCGATTGACTGGTAAAAAACAAGCTAACGTTAATGTGATACAACAACAACAACATCAAGCCTTTGTCCCACTACGTGCATGAATCCTTTTTCGCCATAAAACGTTAATGTGATAAATTCAGCAAAATAACATCACATCATAAGCTAAAGTAAACTCCAATGATTGTAAGAAGGAATGGTAATGTCACAAAAAGGGGTGAGGTTCAATAAGAAAAATCTACATTCAGAAATTCAGTTGCTCCTGTAATTCAACCAATTTTTTAAAGCAACTCTACTGAATGCAATTGGTGCAACTCATGTGAAAGATAAATTTTTTTCTGCGCTTCTGCTGGATATGCAGGTAGTTATCGAATTAAAAATGTGCAAGTGTTAGAAGATTAACATTAAGAAATAACTTTTCTAAAGAACAAAAAGCCATTAGGACATGCCACCTGGACCAACAAGTTTGGCCAATAAAGAAAGTAGCTCCTCTATAGAAATTTTTAACTGGCAGACTTCTTTATCAAGCTGTTGTCTATCAGATTCACCATCCTGAATGCCATGCAAAAGATGGGAAGGAAAATCTATTAATAAAAAGCAAAAGATAATTTTTGCCATGCTACATTACTGAAGGGCACAATTCGAACAGAAATTGGAGAAGATATTTTCCCTAAAGAGTGATAATACAAGTTGTTCAGATTACTGAATTCTAGGAATCTGAGTCAAATAGGAAGATAATGCACAACAACACTGAACTGGGAAATTTATGAGTATTCTAATATATTCAATTGATGAATAAGCATGGCATCCGGTTAAAGGCACTAAGGGAAAACTTTTGAATAAATTATTGCTACTAAAATAATAATGACGTTAAGAAAACATCCAAAACTAGAATGGAAATAATAGTTGCTAGAGAACTGGGAAGTGATTCTTCTTCAAAAAGACATCTAAGATTATTAGATATTTAACTTTGAGCTCATGTGCTCCTAAGTCACTTCTAGAGTCATTAATGCTCGCCTCCCTATGAGACTTATGAATGATCATTCATACATATCAATAATATAATCTGTTATATGAAATATATTAAAAATATGGATGGACATTTCTCGTCCTAGGAACTGAATCAACACTCTCCACACTTTTAGATTTAATGTTATGACCATAAAATGAAGCATCAAAACACTTCAATTTCTTAAACATCGTTAAAACTAGTAGAGCATAAGATTTTTGAGAAATTTTAAGTTTGTTTAATGACTAATTGAATGTAATTTTCTCAATGGAAAGCTACAATTGCATAATTAGATAGTTGTGATTTCAATGTGTAAATGTCTTAGAAATAAATAAAAATGCTGGTTATACTTAGAGTGCATTAAGAGGACAGTCCTGGAAAAATGGCTATGTTGCCTCTAGTATATTTTGAAGGCCCATGGATCAAGTTTAAAAAAAAAAAAAAAAAATCTCTTTGCAATTGAAATGATAAGATTGTGCTATCAACCCCTCCCCAATTTCTATATTTAAATTGTATTTGATGGTTTTGATTAGTAAAATATATGGGTACAACCAGAATACTATGCTAGCTTCTCTATGCCATTCAATCATCATTTCATTACATATGCTTGTTGAAAGGTTGCATCTATATGAAACTAGATGAAACTCAATCCATACATAATTTTTGTCTTATTCGCAGAAAATGGTGCTACCATGAGCTTGAAGAATGTATAAAATGGTGAATCCAAAAATAAAATTAGTTGGAGAATGATCATCTTCTCCTTGGAGGAGAAAATTCCATCTCATAAATTATATACATGGTATTAATAACTATTGTATTGTTTTTAGTTACATCATAAATCATATATTATAAATTTTATTAAAATATATTATACAATAATATGATATTTCTTGTATGTACATAACAATTAGATCATATTAAAGAATAAACATTATAATATTTTTTTTAAATACTTATATCACAATTGTCATTAGCCATATCCCAATTATTTGGGATCATCTTTATAAATTCTTATTATCTATTCGACCATGTTAATTATGGTCATAGATGTCAATGGCGCAAAATATCGCGCGACATGACGCACGGCGCGATGCAGAAGTTCAAAATGGCGCGCGCTATTTGCAACCGTTCACATGATCTTAAAGGTAAAAATGAACATTTTGTGCCTCGTAACTGTGATATAAAATGTTTTAAATGTCAGGGCACGGGCCACATTGTTAGTCAATGTCCAAACAAGTGTCTCATGGTACTGAGAGACATGGAGAAGTGGAGACAAATGAAGAAAAAGATGGCACGGAAGAAAATCTTGCTGAACTGCTAGAAATTGAGGAATTCACTGTCCAAGGAGATCTGCTGATAGCAAGGAGAGTTCTTAATATGCAAGCCAAAGAAATGGAGGAAACGCAATGAGAGAACATTTTCCATACAAGGTGCTTTGTCAAGGATAAGGTATGTAGTTTAATTATTGATGCTGGTAGTTGTACTAATGTAGCTAGCACTACAATGGTCACAAAACTGAGATTATCCACACTTAAACATTCAAAATCATATAAATTACAATGGTTAAAAAATAGAGGGGTAAAGAAAAATAAACAAGTGTTAATTGCTTTTAAAATTGAAAAATATGAAGATGAAATTTTATGTGATATTCCTATGCAAGCCGGGCATCTATTTGTAGGTCGTCTTTGGCAATTTGATAGAAAGATTTTACAATATGATTTTTCTAATAAATATTCATTTCTTCTTAACCAATGACATGTTACTCTTGTGAGGTTAAAACAAGAACATGATAACAAAAAGAGGGAATTAACTTCAGGTTTGAAACAAATGCATGAAGAAAAATCATGTATTATTGCCAATAAAAGTGAAATCAAACAAGCCTTACAGCTTCGACAACCCCTCATATTAACTATGGATAAGAAAATTATTTGTGCACTAATGACTTGGTCGGAAACCTTCCGAGCAGCAGCATTATTTCTCTTTTGTAGGATTATGAACACGTGTTGTGCAATATTTGTGCCTCCTCTCTTTTGTAGGATTATGAAGACGTGTTGATCGGAAACCTTCAGAGCAGCGAGGGTTGTAAGAAGTTGCTGCCTCCTTGCCTAACGTCCTGCAATGCCACCCTACATCCTCGTCATCCTTCATCCCGGTGCCATGCAGTATTTGTGCCTTTCTTCCTGATGTTGAGCATGGAGATGGAGCTGGGGTTGAGAAAAAGAGGAAATTTTCCAAGAAGGGAATGAGGATTATAGTAGACAGAGGAATGTTTTCAATCAAATTGGGAGCTCTGATACATGGAAGACATCAGACAGACAATATCATTTGTTTGTTCTCAGAAGTATTTGTCTACTTCATATTGCACTAATAATTTGAAATGCTCCCTTTATGTAAAAATTTGGATTTGTTTAGCATGGACCTAATAGCTTCGTTTTGTTAATTGGAGTTGAATCCAGGTTTATCACTTTATCACTGTCTTTGGTTCTCTTAACATATTCCATTGCATTTGATCTTGTAATTTTCTTATTTTTTTATGATTTATTTATTAGCCTTATGCATTAGTTTCTGGATTGTCAAGTTATGCTAAAAGGTGAAGCATTTTTGTACAAACCCTGTAGCAAAATGACATGTCAGAGCATAGATTGCTCCAAAACATGTATATTTAAAAAATATATTCATACAAAAATTTAGATTATTAATTCAACCACAAAAAATGATGTCCTGAATTTATTTTGCAACCAATAAAGCAACCCTCAGCATCCAATTACATTTTTTAAGTTAAAACTGCATTTGAAATACATCTGTATTCTAAATGCTTGCAATCGAATGTCCCGTTAATGAATCTAACCAAATTCAGGATTTTAAATTAAAAAAAAAAACAAATAAATATAATGGAACTCGGAGGGATTTAGGGATTAAAGAACCAATAAGAAAATGCTTGGTCCTACTCCCTGGTGCTCTAAAAATACGAAAACAACCAAAAAAAGGTGCTCTATCATGTAATAAAACATTAAAAAAGGCATCATTCAATTAAAAACACTTCCAATCAATTTTAATAAGTTTCAATTGATCGCATAAGAGGTGGAGGTGAAAGCGCAAATAGAAACCCTAACCTGAAGCTACATATCAAAAGTATAGACTACTAAACTATTCAGACGAAAAAAAAAAAAGAAGTCGTTCCAAGTGCTAAAAAAAGAGCTGTGAGAAAATCATATAGTTCCATAATATAATATACTGAACGTCCGAAATCAAAATTAACAACCTGATGTTCATCAAGGAAGGAAGAAGAACTTTCAAGATCTTCATCACTGGAATCGCCAGCGGCGCCGCCAAGCCCAACTAATCCAGAAGACGGAGTGGTCGGGTAAATTATCGAAGAATGACCACAACTGTCAGGCACCGTCTCCGCACTGTCACCATCGACAGCTTCCGACATGATCTCTTAGTGCCCCTTGCCCGCCGAAAAAGGTAGGGGATTTTGGCTTTTTTTTATTTCCTTTATATGAAAATGCACAAGTGAAACACGAAACCACAACCTACCAGCAATTCTCTTCGGCAAACTGAAATTCTCGTGCGATCTCGGTTTCAACTTTTTTTTTTTTTTTTTTTTTTTTTTTTTTTTTTTTTTTTTTTTTGAAGAGATTCGTGACTTTATATTTCTAATTATGCAGGTCTGAAAAATATTGGACAATTACATTTTACATTGGAAAGGAGACTAATAGAAAAACTGTAAAATACGATAAAAAAACATATTTGTAATAGGAGTTTTTGTTCAATATTAAAATATAAATATTTAAACTCTTTAAACATCATATGAATTGTTACAATAATGTTTGAATCAAGTTTGACAAATTATGATCAAATATAGTTAGAGACTTGCTTGAATAATGCTTGTATAGGTTGAACAAGTTCTTACTATACCTTTTTATTTTACGCTCTCTATCTATTATGAATTGATTTAGGCTTCGTTCGAGACGGCTTTCTTACTGCAGCTTTTTAGTACAAAAATAAAAAATTTGATACTAGAAAGCTGTTTTATGAAGTAATAAGAAAGTAGTCCCAAATGAAGGCTTAGTTCAATTTATTTGATATGTATGTAGTGTTCACTCTAATCATATTTATAGAGAGGCATTTGACTGCATATAGAATTAGAGTTGTGATTGAATAACCCTTAAACATGTTAAACATCATATTAATCATCATAATCATATTTGAATTACATTTGAACCTAATTTATCAAATAACATATTATCAAATCTAGCTTGAAACTTACTCGAGCCATGCTTGTATAGGTTTGAATGAGGATGAATTATACACTTTTTATGTTGTGCTCTATATCATTTATGAAATCTATTCATTTGAGTTGGTTTGATATGCATGCAACACTCTAATTATGCCTATCGAGAAGCATTATAGTATTAGGATACATAGTGAGCTAGAGCTGTGATGGATAAAATTGTTAGAATGTTTGATGCTTTTGATCTCTTCATAAGATTTGAAGAAATTCTAGCTTTAATGAAGAATATTACACATAATCATATTCTACAATTTCTATGATATGAGGATGGATTTTGGTATAGCATTGATATATGTGAGCATCCTAATTACTGGCTAAATGGTAAGAGACTAGCTTTGGTTATAACACTCAACCAAGACATAAGAAGTATTGTTGTTGATGTGATTATACTCTTTTATATAGAAGTCTATAATTTATTTGTGATGATATTATATTGTAACAAAATTATAGTTTATTGTGTTAATTTGTTATGATTATACTTTATTCTCACAAAATTATAGCATGTTGTATTATACATGTTGCAATTGTATTTTGGCGTATAACGGTTTGTTGTCATAGGTTATTCTGTCATGCTCTTGAATCTATTTTAAAAAAATTAATTTTTTTTCTTTTATAATAACAACAATCAAAGCTATCTAATTTTTTTATTAATAGTATAAATATCAGCATAAATGAATATATTAATCAAAATATCAATATGCATATGTATTCATACTTAAAATTATATATAATACCTAAAGTCATACAAATACAACACCCCTCTTTTCACTCATGAGAACAAAATAATTTCTAAAGTAAAAAAGGAAACTAACAATAGAAAAATATGAGGAATATTGTAACTGGTTAGTCCCACACTCTTGATTCTCTTCTCTGATCTAAAATCATTTAAACCATATATAATGAGCTAAAAAATCCAGAAGGTTACTAAATCATACACTGAACTCAAAGCACGGTAAACAAGTAATCTACATGTAATCAGTCAGTTCATAATAATAGCAGTCAATATGATCATGAATCTGTGCACAAATAGTATAATAATAGTATAATCTGTAAAGCAATGGAACATAAAATATATGGGTGCCAATAAAATAGTGCATTATGAAAACTTTGAAATTTGTAAACCAATACATCAATATGGATGTTGAATCGATAAAGCAGACATCATAGTAGTTGTCTCACCCTGAGATTTATATTATAAGAATTATATATGTCTTTCATTTTAACAATTTGACTAAAACTTACCAATTTTTTATGAATAGTGAAAAGAATTATACATGTTATCTAAAGCCTCATATCATAGATTCTTTACCCTTTCTTAAAAATATATAAAATCATGTAATGAACACATAGCACATCAAATAATCAAAATATTACAACTAAAATCAATGTATAATAAAAGAGAATAGTATGTAGTAAAAATTATATATAAGTAGTGTAACTGGTTAAGGACACGCAGGGTAAGGACACGCAGGGTGACGAGCAGGGTACTGGCCGGATACGGAAGTGCGGAGCGTGGTCTTGTGACGAGCGGAGCACTGGTGAGGGCGCAGGGCTCGTTGTACGGGTGGATACGTGCAGGATGTAGTCGGTGACATACCACATGAGTGCAAGGAACGGGCGCGGGCTTGTGGCGTTTGGACGCGGGCTGGAGGCGCAGGGCGTGGGCACTGAGGCGCAGGGTGCTGGTGGATGCACAGGGCGCGGAAGCCGGGCTAGGGGTGCTCGGGATTGGCTGCGTTGGACGCAGTGCGACAGGAGATCTGTCGGGAGGTGGAGATAGAATGTCGGTGGAAGCTTTTGGCGGAGGAGACTGACATGATCATTATTTGACTGTTCTTTATGAACAGTGATTATCTTATGTTTTGTTAAATCTGGACTAAAGGGGGTGATTGTTAGGTTTTATTCCAGATTTTTAGGTTTGTTTTTTTGTATAGCTTGTGTGTGGCTATTTGTATAGCCTTAGGTGCCAATTAATAGGCCTTTTAGTTTGTATTAAGAGAAGCCAAGGAGAATAAAGAATTTTGCATTGTTTTGGCTCATGCCTCCTCCCTCTCCTCTCTCCCTCCTCCTCCTCTTTCAAGATCCATGAGGAAGTGCTTCTTCCTCAAGTGAAGGGATCTCACAGTCCAAAATATATACATCAAAAGAAACCTATGAAAAAGGGCTACGCTCTAATACAATCTACCACCCATATAAATGCAATGCATGTATATAAAACAATGTATAAAAGAAGAGCGTATAAATAACATTTTTTATTTAATGAGAAAAGAAATATAACCTAGGGCCTGCTGAAAAATAAGATGGCCGGGCTCCAGCACAACAAATATGGTATTATATACCTATGAAATATATAGATTTAAATGCACATGCTTAACATATTCTAGCTACATATCTTTTTATATAATTCCAAAAAAGAATACCCTCCAAGGGAGAAGGAATTATCTTTTGAAGCCCTATATATATACATAAGTAAATACCTTTAAACCTTTGCAACTCATTGACCACTTTAGAGAGAGAGAGAGAGAGAGAGAGAGAGAGAGAGAGAGAGAGAGAGCTTTGATATTTAGTTGCCATAAAGTAGAGGCCTAATTTTAGCAAAATAAATTATTTTGTCCATAGGATTTTCTTTGGAACCTCTATTTATAGATGGTAGTAGATGTTAGGCTATAAAAAAAAATTACATTAAAAGATAAAATACACTAATGACATAATATGAACTAATAAAATCTCATCTTAAAAAAAAGAAATATGTGAATTATATATCAAGAATTACATGAAATATGCATTAGAATTTTTCGGACATAAAATAAGCCCACACATAATCACTAATTGATCTGATTAATATATGAAATTGATCTCTTTTAGCCAATTTATTTGGCTTGAGCTCAGTATGAATAATTTGGCACATATAACTAAGACCCATTAAATTTAACTCACAAAATGATAAAACATTTTTTTGTCGGGCTTCTTGGAACGGGGGTATCTACCCGTTGTCACTTCAAAATTAAGGAACAGTTGGCGGCGTAACTAATCCCTCGGCAGAATCTAGCGAGGTCACACTTGCTTTGCCCCACTAAAGAGCCGAGCCATAGTAGAGGGGATTCAAAACTAGAATGAGGGGTTTCCAACAATTATCGCTCACCAATCACGCTAAGCCTCAGTGAGTCACAAGGAGTTAGTTTCATAGCCCTTTAAAAAAAGATTCGTGATCTTTCATCTTTGAATCAATAAAACTGAATTTAAAATTTAAAATCTGCTAAAAACATGCTAACGAAGTAAAGGCTAAGAATATCACATTTGGATTTCCCCCATCCCTTTCTCCATCCCCCGACAGCCTGATGGCCTAGACTATGCTTTATAACTTCTTTGAGGACACCGTTTATATCTTCATCAACGGTCAAGACACACGGTCGCATAGAATCCGAACCACGTTAATCATCTCAAAATCTGCACCTTTTATCCATAAACATCTCCAAGTCAGCTCCGAACGATTTTGAACGCGTGGCTCCTCTCTTGGCATCGACGAAAGAAAGTCCCATTCGTCATCCGTGAGAGAAAAAATCCTCCGTTTTAAACTTTAAACGAAGAAAGATCTCCTTTTACCTCCATGGCTTCATCGTCGGCCTCAGTGTCAAGAATTTTGCAGAAGAATTGCAGAGTTGGTAATGGATTTTATAGGCAAGGGCATTCTTTATTTGCGAGGCGGCTTCAAACTCAGTACAGTTTGTACTCTTTCTGTTATTTTTTGGCCTCTGTAATTTTTTTTTTGTGATAAAAAGATTTGAAATTAATTTGAGGTTTCTTGTTTAGATTGGAAAATAGTTTTGGAAAACGAGTGGACGATGGCCGGTAGAGAAGGAGCTCAGAGTGCTGGCATTAGTTCCCTGAAAGCTGTTTCTGTTGTTCCAATCACAAAGTATGAAAGAAAGTTGCTTGTTTTGAACTTTGAAGTGTTTCTTTGAGTGATAATCTTCAAGTTGGAGGCTTCCATGTCTTCTTTTTTCTGTGTACTCACTTGTATACATGCTAAAATGAACTGCAATGGGGTGATGCTCCTAATTTCTTCGCATACTGCTTTTGGAGTGTTAGAACATGTATACTAACCTTCTTGATTAATATTGGACCTTAGAATTTGAGTAATTTTTTTTTTTTCGGTATTCGCTTGCATAAATTCTAGAATAAACTTTTTTGGGGGATGATCATGAATGTTTTTACAAAATTGAGCTTTTGTAATGTTTGAGCAATGTAAAATTGCTTTCTTGATTATTATTGGACTCTAGGATTTTAGTTTTTTTTTAATTATTAATTTTGGTGTTCGCTGTATAAATGATGGAAGGAACTTCTATGGGGTGACGATACTGAGGTTTTGTTTGGGACAATTTTTTTATGCTTCTTAAAGCATCTTTCTAGTACAAAACTGCTTTAGGAAGTAGCAAGAAAGCTGCCCCAAACGAAGCCTAAGTTGCATGATTGAGCTTTTGGAATGCTAGAATCATGATGATCCTCAATTATTTAAATAATTCAACTATTGAAATGTTAGAATAATGTAAAATAGCTTTTTTGGTTATTATATTTGAGTTTTTTCTCCATATTCACTTGAATAAATTATAGAATGAACTTCCATATGGCGATGATCCAGATTATTTACATTATTGAACTTTCAAAACACTTGAACGATGTTAAATAGTCTTTGAGGTGATTATTAGACCCACCCTAGGATTTGAGTTAACAGTTCCGAGTACATCTTGTTTCCTGCATTAGTACAAGGAAAGTGACTATGGGTTAGTTTCTTACTAAATTTGTTTATGTAGGAGCCTAAAGTTATCGTGTAAAGCTGAAGCAAACGTCTCTGGTGATTTTCCTAACCATGCTCCTGCTGGAATGAGCCAATATGAGAGAATTGTTGAGCTGCTTACTACTCTCTTTCCAGTTTGGGTGTGATTGAACATACTCATCTCACTTTATACCCATCTTTCAGTTTTCTGTTATATGAATATAGATGACTTGCATCAATAAGCAAACTTTTACAGGTAATTTTAGGAACTATTATTGGTATATTCAAGCCAGTTGCAGTAAGTGTGTATAGTCATACTTTATTTAATTGAGCAGTTTCATTTTTGCCTTTCATCCCTTTATGCAAATTTTCTGTTGACTAATTTCTTTTGCATGGTTTCGCCTAAGGTTACTTGGTTGGAAACAGACCTTTTCACGTTTGGATTGGGCTTCCTCATGCTTTCAATGGGTCTGACTTTGACTTTTGAGGATTTCAGAAGATGCATGCGAAACCCATGGACTGTATGATTTTTAAAATTGCAAATCTTGGGATATTGGCAATATTTTAATTGTTTGACATTCTTGCTATCTTCCTTTGCACAGGTTGGTGTGGGATTTCTAGCACAGTATTTAATCAAACCCATACTAGGCTTTGTCATTGCAATGGTATAGAGATCTGTTAGCCCGAGCAAGCTTGTATTCTTCGCATTTTTCGCATCATTTCTTAAGAACTGCTTTTGAAGTTTAATTTGCTCAGATTCAGAAAATGTTACTAGGTTCTCCTCTGTACTTGGCTTACACTAGATGATGTAACACATCAAGTGGATCTTAGCAAGCACGACCTTCATGTCCAAGGGTTAATATGCTGAAGTTAGTGCAAAGGAGAACTATTGTTGTTGCATTTGAATTGAAGAATAATTTAGTGAGCTTTGGTTGAAGCTTGGTGGTTTTGATACCTGGGTTAGAGATTTGGTTGTTAGAGTTAACTAGAATTATTTACTATCATATAAATATTAGAGCAGGTGTCTTATATTTATATTAGGAATTTTCCGTTACTATTATTGTAATATATTCTCAATATTGATGATACTTTCTTTTATTATGTTTTCATTTATTACTCTATTCTATTTCCCATATATAGGCATTCTTGTATCAATATATTATTCAATTTAATAAGGAGCATTGCATTTATAGCTTTTCTATCATTAATAGCCGAAAATCACCATAATTATTTGTTGAGAATTGTATTATCTTCTTATATTTTTATCTTTTTGTTTTCATATATAAGTGCTTTGTGTTATTCCTCTCATATTCCCTCAAGCTGTACATTTCATTCCATGGCTCTTGGCCTCTCCTGCAAGGGAAATCCTATCTGATTCTAAACTTTTGATTTTCTCTTATGCAAAGGAAAACCTAGCTGATTCTAAGCTCTTGGTTTTTTCTTTCTCCACTAATTCTAATTTCACCCATTACCAAACTTAGGAACCCTTCTCTACCACTTGGTCTCACCCTAAACTATTCTTAGTCGCGTCCACATAAATATCCAATCTTCACAAAACCCCCCCAAGCTTACATCTCTCTCAGCTCCTACATAATCCTTCACTGCCCCTAAGCCCAATTACTTCACAATCATCTTTTCCAATATCCTTACAAACCATCTCAAGAGAACTTGTCTCATCCAAAACACTGCCACACCCTCCACCACATTAAGTTGTATATAAGTGGTGTAACTTGAAATCCGCGTAGGAACGGACCCAATGAAAAAATACAACTTTATTTTGCTAGTTCAAGATGATGGAAATCAGTACAGACGTTTTTTAGATTGTTATTGTCACAATTGTATTTTTTCTAGTAAAGGATTCAAGGATTAATACGATATATCTCCTAATGTAAATCTTGATCTTAATTGGAAAGTACTTGATTGTGTTGTTGAACTATTTTAGTTTGTTTCATTTCCATTTAGTGAGAAAAGTGTAGGTGTAAGTACTTTTATGCTAATACACTGGAAATCCCTCCAACTACTTGAGGTATTTCAATGTCTAATATTATACACTCCATTGTCATGATAAATATTACATAGTTTGACTAGATGAAGTTGTCACTAGGATTTATATAATGTTGTCCCCTTTTACATATCTATCAGTTATCTTAAATAAATTATTAATCTGTTACCATAGTTCTGAGTTCAATTGAAAATTTTAAGTTATATTGAAAGCTTATTTTATTGCAGTAATGTTGATCGCTGAAAGATGGCAGCTTGTTTCTAGTTGGTCTGATATTAAAATGTCTTTGCAACTGTCCTTTAGACGAGATTCACTTGATGATATGATACTTAGGCTTCGTTTAGGACTATTTTTTTACTGCTTCTTAAAGTAGATTTTTAGTACAAAAATTAAAATTATTATACTAAAAAACAGCTTTAAGAAGCAGTAAGAAAGCCGTCCCAAACAAAGCCTTAAGAAGTGATAACTAACTTATGCTCCAACTTTTATAAAACACTTCACAAATGGTGAAATATCAATGAATGATTTTGTTTGATGGGACTACTTGAAATTGATCCATATCCTCTTTGTGCATGCTCCATCATGTCTTATTGGTTTCTATTTTTTATATTTATAAGTAATAAATGTTGAAGGAGCATACCATGCCTATGATATTTTTTACCATGGAAATGTAAAAAAATGAACTTACCAATCTGCTTGATATTTGAGAGTACTAGACGGATTGCTTTAGTGATATTCCTTGAGCATTGGCTGTGGCACAAGGAATATATATGACTTGATACTTCTGATTTTTAGTCTCTCAAGTTGTCTGCTCCTCTTGCAACCGGTCTCATCTTGGTGTCATGCTGCCCCGGTGGCCAAGCCTCTAACGTGGCAACTTACATATCAAAAGGAAATGTTGCACTCTCAGTTCTCATGACAACGTAAGTATTTATTATAGTTCATGCTACCGTTATTAGAAATGATCTTTCTTTATTAGATTGAAACGAGAAATTGACTTTTAACATAACACAATGTAGAAAAAAAATTCATGTAGTCAACCCCACATAGTGGGACAAATACTTGATGTTGTTGTTGTTGTAGGTTTATATCTTGTGTGATACAAGATTCCGACAAATAATTGGTATTCCATTTTTTATTGTGAAAAAAATGTCATTTAATTGGTAAAGAAAAGTAATACTATATTGTTTTTGAGTGATTGTTAATTGCGAAAAGAAATGATATATAGATTAGATTATTGTAGACATTATTTAGCTTTGAGAAATATGATTTCACCAAAAAATATATTATTTGCAACAAACATGCATGAAATTAAATAATAGTTTAATTTGTCTAAAACGTAATTGCTATTAGACATGTAAGGGTGAATGCATGATAAACAGCTTGCAATATTACTGGCAACTGTTAGAAAATTGTCTTCATAGGTGAAGTTAAAAGAAAGGCTTGAAAGAGAGGAAGAAAATGTGAAGGAAATAATAAGGAGAGATAATTAGAGAGCGTGAAATGAGAGTTGTTGGGATAGATTTAAAGAGAGGGACTGAAAGAGGTATTGTGAGAAGGAGAGGGAGTTAAGGGATTGGAACGGGTTAATATAGGGAGGGAGGAGAAGGGATGCAACATTTAGGATTGCAAAGGTGGCAAAAAAATTCATTGTTGAAAGCCTTAGTCCCCAATGTTTGAACGATTAGGGCCCACAAAAGAATTTGATGCAAGTACTGCTAGTCACCCGGTCATCAGGCTATTAGGGGTGGTACACAAGCACCAATCATTAGGTGATTGTTTCCTTTTAATTTTTCTTAAAGAATTTATGTACATTATAGTATTTATATATAGGATCCTTAAGAAAAATTTTGCCCAAGAATGAAATGAGTACTTGCTTTTCCACTCTTGTGGTAACTAGTGAAACCCTGTAGATGTGATCTATAATCTCTTATAGTATTGCTTTTTCTATTTTCCTTAGGTTTTGTTTGTAATGACTTTTTTTATTGCTTCTTGAAGCAGCTTTTTAGTATAAAAATTTTAATTTTTGTACTAAAAAACGGTTTTAAGAAGCATGAAGAAAGCTGTCCCAAACGAAGCCTTAATTTTTTCTTGCATGGATGACATAATAATTTCCTACGTGGATTTCTAACGCAACACTCTTTCCTTTTGAATGTGCAGCTGTTCAACCATTGGTGCTATTGTTATGACACCACTCCTTACAAAGGTCCTTGCTGGTCAACTTGTTCCTGTTGATGCAGCGGTAATGATACGTGGATTTGTATTCTTTCATATTTACTTTGGTGGGATCTCATATGATCTTTATGCCAAGTTTTGTTTTATACCTGAATGCGTACATTTCTCTCTTCAGGGTTTGGCTATTAGTACTTTTCAGGTGGTTTTAGTGCCAACAGTTGTTGGAGGTAAGTGAAAAGTATTTTGAATATTTGACAAATGTTGGTATAGGTTTTTTCTATTTTGTTTTGGATGGAAAAGTATTTGTTTATTTGGTTTTTGACATGTCTAATTGTTATTATTTTTATTTTTTGTTGCAGTGCTAGCACATGAGTACTTTCCTAAGTTTACGGAGCGCATAATCACAATTACACCTTTGATTGGAGTCATACTTACTACATTGCTTTGTGCAAGCCCAGTAAGCTGGTCATTATGTACTCTAGTAAAGAATGTGTTAGATGTATATTAGATCAAGCTAACTGTTATTAGCTACATAAATTATGTTGAAATAATAATTTCAATCTCACACTTAAAATGAATTTAAATCTTTAATTTTTAGAACTTTTTTTAAATTGCAAGCAACCAGATGAGCCCCTTAAGGTTTCATTTGGGACGTCTTTCTTTCTGCTTCTTAAAACAACTTTTTAGTAAAAAATTAAAAAATTTTGTACTAGAAAGCTACTTTAAGAAGCAAAAAGAAAGCCGTCCCAAACAAAGGCTAAAGCAGCATCAACTCATTTTAACGAGCACTAAATCCAAAAGTTTTTTAACGTGGAGTTAGAATCTTGACTTGAAGAAGCTCTTTGTTTTCTCTTAATTGTTTTTGTAAAATTGTTGTTTTCCTTGCTTGTAAAGATTGGACAAGTTTCAGAAGTGCTCAAGTCCCAAGGGGCACAACTTATAGTTCCTGTAGCTCTCCTACATGCTGCTGCATTTGCTCTTGGCTATTGGCTTTCTAGGTTATCAACTTTTGGTGAATCTACTTCTCGTACCATTTCCATAGAATGTGGGATGCAGGTAATGTTTTCTCTAGAACTCTTCAAAGTTACGGAAAGAAGTTATAATTGATTTTAGTACTTGAGATATGAATTTATGCATATGATGTTAGTTCATGAAGCCTAACAACTTTGAAGTACCTCAAGTATTTCTTAGGACAAATTATATCACCTTCAGCGTCCAGATTTGCCAAGGATGTTACTCACATTGTGTTTTACCTTGCATATGCAATTTAAAAGGTTTCTGGCTCTTCCATATCTAACGATGGGAGAGTTTTACTTGACATCTTCTATAAAACAAAATGTTTTGTTCATGCCTATCCTTCACATGCTGTTAAAATATCTTATAGCTGATCTTCACAAATCATTTTGATTAAATTCATGCATCTAGTTTCATCCAATGAAGTAATAGGATTTTATGGCAGCATGATTTCCTTAAGTATAGAGAAAGAGGCATATTTAAATCAATGCCGTTAGTACTTTTCAGGCTATCTAATCTCCTTTGAGCATTTTTATTTATAGCTCCAAACTTATCCTATGAGAGACTCTTAACGAACTTTTTAAAATGCTTTGGTTTGTTCATGTCATTCTGCCATTGATTCACTGAATACTATACATTTAGTTAGGGGTGCCAATATTTGATCTGGCTCGAAGCCGACACGAAAATTTCGGGTTTGGATTGATCTGAACCCGAACCAGTTCGGGTTGGGGTTTTTGACCTGTTTCGAAAAACGTTGGGTTCGGGTTAAACCAGGAACCTGGAAATGACCCGGAATGACCCATCTGCTTGGTCTGCCCGCTCTGCCCGCGTGCATCGAGCTGCTGCCGCACCTGACGCGCATCACATCGCTTGCTCGCCCTGTCGCGCTACTCGCAAATTGACACCTCTAATTTAGTTGAAGGCTCTCAACATACAGGCTAACTTAAGTTTCACAGGAGATCATTGTAATTATTCCCTTTCATTGTTACTATTCTTCAATTTGAATTGTATTCTCAACTAAACCTAACCTCCCAGGGAAACCTGTTGCTGAGGTGTGAGATATCAGTTCATCCATATCTTCAAACTCGATAAATCTTCCAAATAATCAAAATTAGGTACATCAAAATTGCTTCTCTTATCTGTTTAATTCCTTTCTGCAGAGCTCGGCGCTAGGCTTTCTGCTTGCCCAAAAGCACTTCACCAATCATTTGGTAGCTGTACCTTCAGCTGTCAGTGTTGTGTGTATGGCAGTATGTTTTCTATTTTTTGTTTTTAATTAGAAAACCATTGAGCTGCTTCAATTTTTTTTTCTCTTCATTAAAGATGGACAAGGTGTACAGAATCACTGAATATTTGAAAAAATGAATTCTGGGTCCTCATAACTTAAGCATCTTTATATTTAAAAGGTCTAACTTAGGCCTCTTTCTTTTGGCAGCTCGGTGGAAGCGCCCTTGCCGTTTTCTGGAGGAACATGCCTATTTCAGTCAATGACAAGGATGACTTCAAGGAATGAATCAGTAGCTGAGTTACATGACCATATCCTACTTTCTTGTCTTATTTGAAGGGGTTTGCTGCTATTTAATTAGATGAGTTTGATTAGTTTAGTTTGCCAGTATGAAACTTAGATTTTTCTTAGCGGGTAGCTTTTAGTTAATTAGGAGAAGAGCACCCTGTGAATGGTGATATTCTTGTGCTGGAGCTTAGTTCTTTACTTTGAGCTATTTGTGAAGAAGTTTTGAAGTGACAATATTTGCTGCAGATGATTTTGGAATAAGGTGGGATGAATAACTCTATTGATGAGTTTTGAAGCATAACTTAGGCTTGTTTTTGGTTTTTCTTATGCTTGGTTTATTTCAAAAGAAGTCTGACATTCAATTCAATTATGTGAGCTAAAACGGTTCCATTTAGCTAGACTAGGAGGGGATTGATTTCCGGATTTACTCACTTCACAAGGTCTATTCAGGACTAGTGCAGGAGCATTTAGCTAGACTAGGAGGGGATTGATTTCCGGATTTACTCCTTCACAAGGTCTATTCAGGACTAGTGCAGGAGCTAGCTAAGTCGATTTAACATGAGTATTATGAACAGTATAAAAAGAACAAGAATATCAAGCCTTTATCTCACTATATGGGGTCGGCTGAATTAATCTTTTTTTATTTATTTATTGTCCTATTAAGAGTTAAATTCATATTTAAATCTAATAAAGAAATATCATTTTCAATACTTTCTAACCAATTCTTTTTATGTCTACCTCTAGCTTTTAACATAGCTCATATCTACTACATTTACTCTCCTAACCAGGTCTTTGAAACTCCGAAGAGAAATTCCACATGTTCGTTTTTTATTGGAGTCCGGACGTAGAGCTACATCCGGAGTCCACACAGAATAATTTCTCCTTCAACTAGAGCACGAGTAATTGTTTTTGTTTTTTTTGTGATTTGATAAAATGTGCTAGTGGTACATCATCGTCGTCACTAATATCAATAATATAAGGGTTTGCAGTAGAAGTGAAAGCAGGATAAAGAGTGATTCAAGTGCTTTCATCTATGATATCAGCATAAGGGGGCATTAGGAGGATCTGCGGTCAAGGGGGTTTGAATTTGGACATTATGGGCTGCTGAAGTTGATGGTGGGACTTTGTCAGATCTTCCATTTTCTCAATTTTATACGTAGGAAGATGTTCCGACAGAGTCTTCACATAGCAACTTTAAGTTCCAAGTGTCTGGGTTCCTTTTACCTATTTCCTCATGAGTAGCTCCTCGGTGGGAATGGAAAATCTGCACAGTTGTGTGTGGGATCCTTCAATCCGCCCGCTCGATGTTGTGCTTTTTTTAGGCGAAGGAGTTTTAACGGATTAGGTTCCGGGATAAATTTTGGAAGGCAGATGGGTTTGTAGATAAGACACTAACCAGAGATTTCGCCCTCATTTTGCAAGGACTTTATGATATGAGTTCTGGTTTCCTATAGGCGCAAGCCCCTATAGTTAATTACCCCTCCCGATAACGGAAGAGAACTTTCGATTAAGGCTAGTCGTCAATCAGATACGTATATCTGGCATATAGTAGCAGCATGGGTAATGGATATTGGAAGTTTGAAGGTTTGATGTTTGGAAATTTGAATGATTGATATTTGAAAATTTGAAGGTTTTGATGTTTAAAATAGAAATTTCACCATCTTTCACTTAAAGCAGATAGTGTGGGAATAGATGGTGGACCCGATCAAGATCCCATGATTCTGTCGTCCCGGGCCATTGTGGTCCCTGGTCTACTTAGTCAGAGGAGATAGTCGACCCAACCTGATAGAAGGATCCTTGTCAGCAGTCATGGGTTGCTTCGTCCAAGGGTACCTTGTAGACCTGGGTTGGATGTTTGTCTAAGGGGACAAATTTAAATCCACCTTAGTTAACAGAGGACTTCGTGCCCTATTAATCATATCCTATTGATTCATATCTCAAGGATTTGATGCCATTAAGGAGCGTATTGGCTCTGGCCATAACCGGTATCTCGTGGTGCCATTTGACAGCAAAATCTCTCGATTCAGAGGGCCCCGGGTCATAACCGTTTATCCTACGGTGCCATTTGACGGCAAAACCGCCGGTTAGAGGACACGTACCACGTCCTTATTGGCAGGAGATTGTTTGCGAATGGATCATATTGATATTTTCGACTAAGCATTTGACTCTTTGTGAGCTAGAGTAAACTTTAATTTGTCCACCCCGGCAAACTGTTGCGGAGGGTGGATGGATTTTGCTTTAAGTGATTGATAGATTTCAATTTTATATATTTTTGGGATTTTGAGATTTTGTGGATATTTGAGTAGAATTTGAAGATATTTGTAAACCCCTCCGGTTGAGATCTCGTTCAACATGGCCATCATCGAGGTGTTCGGGGTCTCTTTCATTTAAAAATGTTTATGAACCTTGTCGACCCTATCAACTTGCTGATAGGGGATCGGGTTTCATAGGCTTTATGCCTTTGTTAGTGAATTCATATTATTATAGGCCTTGAAAGTCTAATATGAATGTATTAAAATAAATATCATGGTCGCCACGTCCACATATTTGATTATTGGTTCGAACCCTGTCGACTCCTATTAATCCGTATAGAAGGATCATGTTCGAACTTGAATTCACTTATCGACCCGCGTAGCATCCCTAGACGTCACATGTATACCAACAATACGCTCGTCGAGGCCCATGTGGGTGTTTGGGGGCATTTTATAATTTTGCTATGTCTACTCTTTTTTACCTGCTTAGGAGGATCAGATTCAAATTTAATAACCCGCGCAGCATCCCTAAACGTCACGTATGTACCAATAACATGCTCGCCGGGGCCCATGCGGATTTTATAATTGCTTTTACCCCTTTTATTGTACCTATGTGTATACAAATTACGGTGCACGTGTGAGAGTACTTTGAAAATACTTGTAGACGCCTTCTGTCCGCTTGCATAGAAGTTGCGGATCCGGTGGCGTGGCATAGCAGCTTCTCAATAGAGTTGTTCGTTGCTTCGTATAGGTAGACTGTCGTGTACCACTTGTTGCTTTCTGCAGGTGGATCGTAGTGTACTAACGAGTCTCCTGCTTTAAATCTGTGGACACTTGAATCCACTGTAGTTCTTCCATATTTATTTGTAGATATTATACTATGTATATGACGAGTTTCCTACAGTGACTCATAGGAGCTTGTACTTGTTGTTGTCCTTTGGTATTTTGCTTGTGGTTAATACACTGAGAGCGAAATCGGTCCTCCCCAAAATATCGTAGATATTTACATTTGAATTGTGATGTATCATCCAGTGTTTGCTTATGGATAACATGTGGTACATGTAACGGGTCTTCCACAACCCTGGAGACATTTACAATTTATTACCCAACTGGTTGTTGATCAATTATCTTTCTCTTTACAATGGATCCGTGTACTTGTCTTCCCCTGGGTGGTTGTGATCTCCATCATCTATCATTTGTTGTCATTTATGTGTATGCTGCTAAGTGTATCTTAGATCTTCAACTGCTACCCATAAGAAATTTGAATTTTGCTACGACTAGTTTCTTATAGTCACCTGTAAACAGCACTACAAATGTATACATGCACTTACAGGGGGACCCATTATTCTTGCAATGTATTCATTATTGCTAATCACAAAAGGTAGTATGTCTTCTCACATGACTACTATGTAGATTAACGTTGAACTCTATCTTTGAGAGCATTATTCAATGCACATTTAGTATTTCTATTTATATAAGGTGGTAATTGTTGTCGACCGTATGAATACCCCTAGTATTCATTGCATATTCTTCAAATCATTATGCTCATAGTGTATTAGCCTTCTTTGCTTGCAGAAGTTTGATGTACTTGCTTGTGCTTCAATATTTCACTTGAATGTATTTGGATATATCACATAATTGTCTTCATTACATATCAAGTCCTACTTGAAGAAGAGAAGATCATATATGCTTATGTATTGCTCTTCAATATTCATTGGTATCCCTTCAATTTGGTCCCCACTTGCAAGAAGCTTGTTGTGCTTATTGCGTATATGATTCTTCTTCTTGAAGGAGATAGGTACATCCACTTGCCTGATTGATCCATGAGTGAGTTGTTCACTTATCACTTATTCATTATTTGATGACTCAAATCTATTTTATAATCGATTTGAGTATGATTTAGTTCATTTAATGTTAAGTTTGAATCCACAAATCTTGTCCAAGTCCAAGTCCATGTCTGACGAAGCTTCAATATGAATCCTCTATTCATTTGAGTTTGAGTCCAAGCACATCCTTTGTATTTATTCACTTGGGTCCAAGACTTATTGTTTGATTCAAGTTTGATTTTAAACTCATTTCTATTTAGAAATGAGTTCCATGCTGTCTCATAAAGCTCAAGCCTTGCCTTCTATGGTCCAACTCAAGTCCTTACTTGAGTTCAAATATGTTCAAGTCCAAATCAAATTTGAGTCTTTGTTGAAGTTCAAATGAGAGTCCAAGTTCATGTACATTTCAATTAGAATTGAATTCATTTGAAATTTGAGTTCACTTAAGTTCATTTGATTTAAGTCCATAAGTCCCAAATTGTTCCAAGTTCTTGTCTTTATTTCAGACAAAATTTCAGCAGCCTCCCGCCGTCTCCCTCGTTTAGGGGAAAAACCAAGAGGCCGCCTACCCGCCACGTCAACAAAGACGTGCACGGTTGGTGTTGGTGAGACACCGCGACGGTGATTTTTGTTTTTCATCCACCACGCCAACAAAGGCGTGCATGGGATTTTAAAAGCATTTTTTGAAAAAAAGCAGTTTTTGATGGTACCCGTTTTAAAAAAGACAGTTTGCTTTCCACTCGCTCGGGGGTACTTATGAGCGACCCCGCCTCGCCGTAGGTGCCGCACCGGGGTCCCATCCCACCACGCGCAACAAATGCGTGCATGGGCAGTTTTCCGGTCCGCCACGAACATTGAAGTAGGGTTTTTAGGTGATTATCCGCCTCATCGTAGGCGCCACACCGGGGTCCCATCCCACCACGCGCAACAAAGGCGTGCATGAGCGGTTTTCCGGTCCGCCGCAAACTTCGAGAGCGAGAATCTGAGTTTAGGGTGTTTCGTACCTTCGCGGGGTTGACGGTGATGTCGGCACGTAGTTCGAGGCATAACATGAGGCATTTATATTAATTATAATTAAAATTAAGTAATTACAATTAGTTAAATTTTTTTTTTAATTAATCACTTTAATTAATTAATTATTAAAATAATAATACTACTAATAATAAAAATAAAAATCCCTCCCCCCTTAACTCCTCTCTGCTCACGGGAACAAGCAGCAGAAGCGCGTGAAAGGGGGGAGGGGGA